AAAAAAAATTTTTTTTTTTTTTTTTTTTTTTTTTTTTCATTAGATTCCCAAGAAACCTAGTGAACAAGTTGACAAAATAATCCTTCCATTAATTTCTTTTAAAACCTTTTATAAAGATATAATAGCAGATGTAAACAAAGAAAATATATTTATATATATATAGATATATATATTTATATAAATTTAATTTCTATATTTTTCTTATAGATTATAATTGAAGAAATAATAACAAAAATAGTTGATAAAATAAGTGATCATTATCTTCAAGAAGTAAAATTGATATTAAACTATAAACATAACATAAAAGAATAAATAATTTTTATTTTCATTTTTTTTTTTTTTTTTTTTTTTTTATCTTGTAGATAAAGAATATTGTTAATGTAAAAATTAGTGAACAGAATGAGAAAATAATTAAATTAAATTTAACTGATTCATCAAATGTGATAAATAAAAAGAAAAAATTATGAAAAATACTAAAATAAAAATTATTTGAAATATTTTTTTTTAGTTAAGTTATTATTACCATCTTATTTTGTTCTTATATTATCTTTTATAGGAAAATGATATACTTGATGATCAAAAAATACAAAGACAAATATTTTTAGTAACATACTTAAAATATCTATATGATTTATAATAAAATATACTATATATTCCTCTATTTCTAATTATTTAGAAAAAAAAAAAAAAAAAAAAAAAATGTTTAATATAAATATATTTCTAAATTAAAAATTTTCATTATTAAAATCAATTTTTTTCTTCTTAAATTTTTTTTTATATTATTAAAATTTTTTATAGGATGTATGTCATTATGAAAAAATATGTAATGAACATTTTAACATAAATAGCAACACAAACATAAGTATGAACATCTTACTGAATCATTTTGTTTCAAAAAATTAAATATTTGTAAAATAAAAAAAATTCTGTTATTCATTTAACCTTATGATATATAAAAAAGATGCATTTGATATGTACTTCAATGGATTTTAAAATATTTCTTTTTTTTTTTTTTTTTTTTTTTCTATTTTTTTAAAAATTATTTTAATTTATATTTTATAACAAAAATCTAACTTTAAAAAAAATATGTAAAATATATATATAAAAAGAAAATAAAAAGTAAATAATAATTTAATCAATATTATATTTATAAAAGTAAGAAAAAAATTTATATGTTTTAAATTTTATATAAGATCTCTTCCATATTTTCGCACTTTATATTTCAATATTTTTTTTGCACTTTATATATAATATGAAAACATAATGCAACATATATGCCCGTTAGAAAATAAATCATTTTTATCAGAACAAAATGAAAGTGTTATTAAACACTTAAAAAAGTGCCCTCTTTTTCTAAAATATTTATATTTTCATTATAATCCTTTTTATTTTTCTCATGTTAATGATAGTCTATATTTATTGGAAGGTAGTAATATAGAAAACATTCTAAGTGAATACTATGATTTATTTAATAAATTAATAGACATTATAAAAAAATATATAAATATTACAAATTATGAACAATTTTTAGAGTTAAAATATAATATACTGCTAAAATATTATTTGAAATATGGTAAAAATGATTTAATAAAAAAATTTGAAGAAAATTCATTTTTTGAAAAATTAAAAAGAAAAATTCATAATGATAATGAAAGTCAAATAGATATTAATTTAAACAATGCAGATGATTTTTTAACTTATTATATTGATAAATTAAAATTATTTATATCAGAAAAAAGGAGAAATAACAATGATAATAATGAGATAAAAGTTGAAGAAAAAAACATCAATAAATTAATTTTTTTCAAAAATAAAAATAATGAAACTTATGAAAAAAAGGAAGATTTCTTTTATGAAACGAATAATATAAAAAAAAATAACAATGTTGTAAATGAGGAAAATCAGATTAATAATTTCTTTACTGTTAATAGTCATTTAAAAAAAAAAAATAGAAAGTATACTTTACCTATTTTAAATTTAGAAAACATAGGAAAAATTCATAATTACAAAATAATTAGAGATATAGTAAATTTTATTGATGCGAATATATTTTTGAATGAAAAAATTAATAAAGAAACTAATTCAAACAATCATTTTAAATATAATTTTATTGATAAAGAAAATTTTAATAAGGATGAAGTTCTTAGTATTGTAATATATCTAACCATTTATCTCTGCTGTAAAACGAATATTATAAAAAGGATAAAAAATAAGACATTCAATAGAGAAGATAATTTTGATAATTTAACAATGTCTATATATTTTTTTTTAGAAAATTTAGATAAGCATGATATACAGAATATAAACATGTTGTTTTTGCTATTATATTTTAATGATACATTTAGTGAATATTTTAAAAATTTATTTAATCAAATAAATTCTTTTATAAATGATAACAAGTATAATTTATTTATTGAACTTGGTGCTGGTAAAGGAAACACTACAAGATGGTTAAATTTTGTTATGAACAATTTAGGTGAAATAGTTAAAAAATTTTATTTTAATATGATAAATAAAATAGGAAATAAAAACAGTGATGGTAAATGTAATGAGAATGAATTTATTAAAGAAAATTTAATAAATGATAATAAAAATACTATAGATATAGAATCACAAAAAGAAAGATGTAAAATTATGATAATTGAAAAAGAATCTGTTAGAAATAAAAAAGAGAAAAAGGATTTTTTTATGAATATAGTTCAAAATAATAGCAAAGATATGTATAGAATAAAAGCAGATATATCTGATTTTAATTTAAGCAAATTCATATATTTAATTAGAAATGGAATTATAAAATCAGAGAATATGTTTATTCCTGACATAATTAATTTTTATTATTTTAAAGATATCTATAAAAAAAAAAAGTTAAATCAATTAAACAATAACGTTATGATGGAAAATGAAAAAAAGGAACACAACGAACTAAATAATAACACAAATTTTTTAATATCAGAAGATTATTTAAAATCTAATTTGATATTCATTCAAAATTATTTTGATATAAATATTAAAAAATTATACTGTTTTTTAACACAAGGAAATAACAACATTTTAAAGTTCGTGTAGCAATGTGTAGAAAAATAAAAAAAAAAAATGAAATTAAAAATATTATAATAACTTAATTTTTTATTTTACTTTTTTTTTTTTTTTTAGAGTTTATAATAATATGAACACTTTTTTAAGTAACTTTGATTGTCAAAGAGTTATATTTTTAACAAAACATTTATGCGGAAATGGAACAGATCTAGCATTAAGGTTTTTATTTGAAAAAATTACTTAAATAAATATTGTTTTACTTATTTTTTTATTTTTATTTTTTTTAGAATGCTAATAAATAATGCTAAGAATAATGATGTAGAAAACTATTTTATTTTAGCACCATGTTGTCATCACAGGTTAAAAGAAGTTATTACATTTAAAATATTTATATACCTTTTAATTATTTCATTATAAATTATTACACTTTTTATTTTTATTTTTATTTTTTTTTTTTTTTTTACAAAAAATAGGTGTGATGTGGAAAGAGTTTTAGGATTTAAATATTTAAAAAAATTAAACATTGATAAAAAATATTTTCAATATATGGTTAATCATATGTCAGGGTAAACTTATTTAAAAAAAAAAAAAAAAAAAAAAAATGTTTTTATCCATTTTATAAAAATATATCACTTATTAAAATTTTTATTTTATACATATATTTTTTTTTAATTTTTTATTTTATTAAGTTATGCATCTTGTAATAGCAAAATAAAACAGTCTATTGGAAAAAAAGTTAAGCAATTACTTGATCTCTCAAGGTAATATAGTAAATTTTATTTTTTCACCTTTTACTTACCTATATATATATATATATATATATATATATATATATATATATATATATATTGTGTATATAGAATTCTTTATCTTTTAGAAGAAGGATTGCAAAATGTTTACTTGATAAAGTATGTTAATCGAAATATAACATTGGAAAGTTATGCAATCGTATTTTTTAATCATCAAAAATTAAATTTAAGAAATTTCAAATATTATTAACGTTAAAGAATAAATATATATTCTTGAATATAAAAAAAAAAAAAAAAAAAACTTATTAAATAAACTTTAAAGGTATAATATATTTTAATTATCTTTAAATATTGGATAAAAAAAAAAAAGATACTGATAAAAATTAAAAATAGAGTATTTAAGTTATTTTTTCTCATTTAAAAATATTTTTTTTGATAAAAATTTTCAAAAAGCTCTGATTACTATAAATATGTTTTATATATTATTAATTCTATTAATTATTTATTACATCTTGACGATATTTGCTTATATCTAAAGTAACGGTCTTAGAACATTTTTTATGTTTATTTTTATATACACCAATTAATGTTTGACTTTTACTAAAAAATTTTTCCTTCAGAGATATTACAATAACTTGGCTATTAATAGAATTTAAATATCTTGTAAGAGAACTAATTTTCAGGGGATCCATATTAGCATCAACTTCATCAAGAATGATAAAAGAGTTATTTATATATTTTTGAATGGAGAATATTAATGCTAATGCACTTATACTTTTTTCACCTCCACTTAATTCAGATATTTCAAAATATCTTTTCATTGGTGGCATATTGTTATATTTAATACCACAATAAAATGGCTCATCATCTTTATTAAATTCATTGTAATTACATAAATCTAAAAATGCTTGACCTCCAACATGATGTTTTACATTATATGTTAAATTATTATATACATTATCTATAATGTTTTTTATATAATTAAAACAATGTAAAAATTTATAAGACCTTTTTTTTTGTAATATGCGAAAATTTCGTTCAAACAAATTGCATTCTTTTCTCTCTTGTGATAATGATGCATCTACTACTTTTAATTTTTCTGCTAATTGTTCATATTCCTTTTCTGCATTGCTATTCACATTTCTTAATTTTAAAAACTTTTTTTTTTTTTCTATTTCTTTCTCCAGTTTTTCTTTTTCATTGTTTATATCTTTTTCATTTTCTAGATTTTTTAATTCTTCAGATAAAATATCAAATGATACATTTGATAAAAAAATATCATCATCTTCCTCCTCATTTTCTGTATCTTCTGTAGTGTCATTACTTGTGGAAGAAGTATTATTTTCTTCATTTTCACTTTCTTCTAATAATTTACTTTTTCTCTTTTCATATTTATTATTTTGTTTAATATGTTTTTTCTTTTTTTTTCGTTTTTTTTTATTATTATTTTCATGACAATCATCATGTTCGTCATCAATATCCTTTAATATGTTATTAGTCATAAATATATTTATACTATTTATATCGCACTCATTTATTAAGTCTTTTATAAAATTCTTATAAATTTCAATTTTTTTTTGAGAATTTTCAATTTTATTTTCAATAGTTTCATACTTTTCGAAATTATTATTTATATCTTCTCTTAAATCATTTAATTCCTGATTTATTTGATTTAAATCTTTAAGAAGTGTTAACTTGTGATTTTCTAAATTATTTATAACAACATTAATTTCATTTATTTTATTATTAAAGTCATTTTCTTCTTCTTTTAAATCATCCAATTCTTTTTTAATATCTTCCTCTTTCAAAACTTTATCTTTTTTATGGAATAAATTAATTTCATTCTTTTTATCTAATAACTCATTAATATCATCATTCAATTTTTTTATATTATTTTTAATTCTGTCTATATTTTCATTAATTTTTTCAATTTCTTTTCCATTATTTTCAATAGCCTCATAAATATTTTCTACTTTGAATTTATTATTTAAAATTTCAAAAGAATCCTTTTGGAAGGAAGATAAGCTATTTCTTTCTTTTAATAGTTCATTTTCATAATTATTTAAAGTATTCATTTTATTTTTAATATCGATATTTTTTAATTTAGAAATCTTTTCTTCGTATGTATTAATAACCATTGTTTTTGCTTCAATTTCTTTTTCAAATATATCTTTTTTAATTAAAATACTAGATATTTTTTTTTTATTTAATTCTAATTCACTATTTTTTTTACTTAATGATTCATTTATTTCAATGATTTTTTTATTACATTCATTAATATTATTTCTGCACATATCCTTTTCGTTTACTAATTTATTATATAGATTTATATTTAATCTTCTGTTATTATATTTTTCTTTATCTGCATATCTTGACGAAATATCAATAATTAAGTTATTGTGTTTAGAAACAATATGCCCTTTTAATGTAACTACATTTATATTTAATTGAGGAAACTTATCTTTGATATCTTCTGCATCTTTTATAGATTCTACAATCAGTGTATTTGTACCAATTAAATAATCAAATAGAATTTTATAATTTTCATTACATACTAAACAGTTATTTGCTAAAATAATATTTTTTTTTTTAAACGTATTTATAACTTTATCTATTATATTATAAGAGGATTTTTCACTATTAACATACATACTGGAATCATCCATCATACTATCGCTCATATTTTTTTTTTCTTTTTTTTTTTTCAAATTAGATACAAAATTTTCAAATGGAATGAAATCCATTTTATGTAATTTGTTATCTTTTAAATATTTAATGCATTTTATACATGTTTCTATATTTTTAACTACTAAAAAATTATTATACTTATGAATAACGTTATTTACAGCAGTATAATACAATTGATTACTAACTTCATACAAATTTGAAACTTCATCATATATTTCATCATCACCATACATATTCTTTAAACTTTTTATAACTTCTTTTCTTTTTTCAAAAAAAATTAATTCATTTTTATGGATATTTAATACATTAATTTCTTCATCTAAATGTTCTATTTGTTTTTCATTATTAGATATACTCATATTTAACTCCCTTAATTTATTTTTATCACTTTCAATACATTTCTTATCTTGATCTATTAAATAATTTAATTTTTTTATTCGATCATTCAATTCATCAAGAGATAATTTCTCCGATTCATGTTCTAAAATTTCTTTTTGCTTTTTCCTACTGAAATTATCACATTCTTCTTGTAATTCTTTTATGTCTTTTTTTAAAGAAAAAGCTAAATTGGAATAATTATTTATATTTATATTACTGTTAGCACATAAATATAAATATTTTTCTTTGCATTTTTTATAGTCATCTAGGTTTTCTATTAATTGAATAACATTATAATTTTTAAATTGCTCTTCATCATTATAATTATTCACATTAATTTTGTTTATATATTTTTCGTCTTTAAGTAATTCGTATGTATTTGGATAATTTTGTTTAAAAAATTTTTTAATGTTATCATATTTATTGAAAAATTTTAAGTTAATTTTTAATTTATTTCTATATTCATCTTCTAATTTTTTATTTTGTTCTTTTATTTGATGATTTAAATTATTAATAAAATTAGAACAATGATTTTCCATATTTTTTTTAATTTTTTCATTGGCTTGTACTTTATTTAATGAATTCTCACAAAATTTTCTCTTTTCGTTTATTTCGTTTAAATGTATTTTGAGATCATTTAATTGATTTTTTTGATTTTTTATTTGATCTTCTAATTTTAAAAACTCTTTTTTTTTAATTAATTTATTTTTTTCTAAATCATTAGCAATTTTTTTATTTTTACTTAAAATATCTTGCTCAAATTCCATTTTCTCTTCTTTAAAATTTAATAAATCTTCTTTAAATTTTTCTTTTTTTTTTAAATAATGATATAAACGAAATAAGTACAATATTTTTATATCATTTTCGTAATCATCCTTAAGTTGATTATGTTCTACATTTTCATTCATTTGAATTTTATGAATTTTCAATTCTTGTTCTATTTTTTTTTTTTCATTTAAATAATTCTTACATATTATTTGTTTTTCTTTTAATTTATCTTTGATATCTTCATAAATTTGTTCATATTCATCTGACCCGCTAATGTACTCAAATAATTTAGATAATTCTGTTGGTTTTTTATTAATAATTTCTTCTATATCTCCTTGAAAAATTAGACATGTTTTTGTTTTGGTTTCAATTCTATTTTTCCTTAAAAAATTCATATATTCTTTATGATCTACCAATTTATCATTAATATAAAAATTGTTTACTCCTTTATAATTTAGAGTTCTTTTAATTTCAACATTTTCTTTATTACATTCTAAAATAAGTTTTACATAGCATTCTCTTTTATTTAAATTATCTATTTTCTCATTTTCTTTATGATATATTAAGTTTTTTAAATTTTTTATTCTTAAATATTTATTATTTATACCTAAAACAAAGCATATACAATCCATTATGTTTGATTTTCCTGAACCATTGGGTCCTATTATAGCAGTAAATTTTGAGAAAGGACCTATAATGTTTTCATTTTCATAACTTTTAAAATTGCAAACTATTAAATATTTAATAAAACATAATTCATTTTCTTTATATAACATACTTGACATTAAACTACTATTTAAGTAGTCATTAGAAATAGATAAATCATTAACTTTCGAATTAATGACTCTATCATAATTTTTATTTTTTTGAACTAAATGATTAGAAAAACCAATATTCGAACCACTATTATTTCCATTTAAGTATATGGGGTCTTTATTCATATTGTTATTAATAATACTATTGTTATTATTAAGATTATTACTATTTGCATATCCTTCTTGGCAAAATGGGCTATGTTCGTATATATTTTTCTCTTTTTCAAAAGTATTCATTTCTTCATTTTCTATATTAATATCTATATTTAACTCATTTTTATTTTTACCTTTGTCTTTTATTTGATCATTATCTATATTGTAAAGATTCTTATTTTTATTAAGAATTTTATTTTTTTCATTGCCATTATTATCAATTAATGTGGCTATTTTTGTTAATTTATTATTTTTATTAAGCTCATAATTTGTTAAATTCAAATTATCATTTTTATTTTTTTCTTTCAAAACTGAGTATTTTTCTTTTTTCTTATCATTCAATTCGACAAGGGATACTTCATCTTTTTTATTCTTCAAATTAGTTGCATTACTATTGGAATAATCAAAAGAAGAATCTACTGAAAAATTTAAATCTTCGTTATTTATAAATTTATTAAAATCATTATCAACAATTTTCATTGAATTCACTAATATATTACTTGAAGTAATGTTTTCATTTTCTGTTATACCTAAACTACTTTCATAACGATCTTCATCTCCACTGTAAGATGAATCATTCAATTTTTTTTTATCATTTTTTGACATACTGCATAAAGCTTTTTTATGTATTAAAAAAAAAAAAAAAAAAAGAAAGAAAAAAAAAAAAAAAAGAA